ATATTCGGCGGTCGTACTAAAACTCCTGTTAAAGGCTATGACAATGTGTTCCACATGCTTTATACAATGATTCGCTTTCCACTTGTGGACAACTATGGCTTCGAACGATTGGAAGACGTCGCTCCATACATGTCACGTGTGCTATGCGGAAGTTTTCTTCTCATTGCAGCCATTGTTCTGATGAACTTGTACATTGCACTTCTGTCAAATACTTTTCAACGTGTTTTCGACAACGCCCGTGCCACGGCGGCAATGCAGCGTGCCCGTCTCCTACAAGATCTTGAATCAAATGCATCTGACAAGACCGTTAGACGCTATAGGGAATTCATCCGGGACAGATGCAGCCCAGAGGGAAACGACTTGCTCGTTGTCATATCCGATGAAGAAGATCAGAAGAGACAACAAAAGGAAAAGATTGCCTTAGTCCACACGATTGTCAGCCATCGACTTGGAGGCAAGAAGTTTGGAAAAGTCCAAAAAAGCGAGTTCGATACTGTAATAGAAGACATCGGCCTTTTAAAGCGTACACAGAGCGAAATGGAAAAGTCAGTTGAACGGCTGCATCTTCGTCTTGAAGAGATTGGAAGCCTAAATGCCGTTATCTACCAAGAAATCGCTAAGTTGTTGCAGGGCGGGAAAGAACAAAGATCAGCTATAAGCGTTGTCAGTGAACAAGTGACGGACTTCAAGAATAACATCACAGAGAAGTTTGGAGGTCTGGAGAGTAGCATTGATTCGAAGATCGAAACTCTCGAAACGGAGGAAAAGTTGAGAAATGACGTTTTGGAAAGCAACATGAACTCGAGGTTTGATCAACTTGAAATGGAATTCAAAACCTTCAGCTCATATTGTAATGAATATCATCAGGCATGTGAGGAGATGACCTTGAGAATAGACGAGCTGGAAGCCTATGTAGTCAGTGTCGAAGAAGATAAAATCAAGGAAAAGCAAGAAAGAAAGCCTAGTCCTAAACCAAGGAGTAAATCTGCCAAGGGTGGCTTTCAAATTGTTGAGGCAAACAGAGATGTGTTGAAAGCAGCTGCCATGTCCACAAGTAAATCTGCTACTGATGCCACATCATTGTCCGTAAGCAAATCTCCTGAACCTGTTGCTGATGCAGGATCAGTGCATGAATTCGGTGAAAGTGAGGACGAATGCATAATGAAGCAGCGTAAAAGAACTATCGCGTTGTCAGGCCAGGCGGCAAGAAATGAGTACATCGCCAGACTGAAAGAGAGTTTAGTGACAAACACGGAACAAAGTGATACAGAAAAAGATAAACACGAATGAGATTTGGAAACAACTGGAGTTAAATGAAAACCTCCATCAAGTGATATAATTCGTATTGAAGAAGCGGAGGTTTTTTTTTCTTTCAATTTGAAAAAAGCCCGTGCACTTCCTCGTCTTAAAACATTTGACTACATGTCAAAATTAAAATCGCGATAGGCCAATGGCGTGTTTTAAAGTGCACATGCTTTTACGCATATGTTCGCGGACCCTCTTGGTAGTGCTTAAAAACTCGGACAAGTTATTGCATAAAACATAAAGGCTCCAGTGCGACTCAATTACTAGAAATGCTTTATCGCCAAAACCTCGCCAGGATGCAAAGGGCCAGCAATGACGTAAGAAGGTTTCGCCGAATAATCAGCTCCTGGCAGAGTATACGAGGAGTATGACAGCTAGGATTTCCTAATGCTCGGGGATTAGTGGTTGAGACGTTACAAGGCCCTAATTGTTCCCTCCAAAAAACGAATTTATTTTTAAGTACGTATAAGGGGCATGTCACAAGGATATTGCTGTTTTAGGTCCATTCTGTACTGAAGTCATGATTTAGGGCCTGTTTACATGGAGGTGGGGGGACCCCAGGTAGGTGAGGTAACCCGCTTAGGTGGGGTAACCCACCTGTCTATATAATCTCTCATTTTAATTTGATCACGTTTACATGATAGGTGGGGTGAGCCACCGCGGGTTACCTCACCTACCTGGGGTCCCCCATCTCGATGTAAACAGGCCCTTAGTGCCTTTACCCGCCATACGCAAAAACGCTTCTGTAGAGTTGTGAAGAAGACATCAAACAAATTTTAACAGGGAGCACTAACCATAATAGTTTATTTTGGGTGATTTTGCAGGGATAGCATGAAACTGCTTGAATACGAAGTTTCCATCCATTACAATCCTTCACATCCGTAGCATCAGACGCCAGGAAACAATTTCATTGCCTAAATATACATATTCTTAAATAACATGCCTAGACCATTGTTTTTGAAATTCAATTGATGAGAAAATAGTTCTAGTTTTTTAAAAAGATAGCTAATAGCGGGACATGGCCCCTTTAAGGAACGTTTTCACACGACGTCACGTCCGCCATAATAGGCTGATTTAGCAAGAGAACGGGAACGTCAGCTTACGACGGCGCGCGCAAATCAAACAACCGGTTTGACCAATGGCAGAGCGGTCAGAGCAGTCACGTGTAGTCCTTTTCGCGCGCTTTTTCCGTCGTCAGCTGACTTTCCCGTTGTGTTGCTAAATCAGCCTATCATTGAGTTTACGCAACAGGACGGCAAAACGTTTGAGTGTGACAAGCGGTGACAGGGCTGTTACTTGCGTGTTTTGTCGGGAATTCTCTTAATATTGATGTTTTTTGCTCTTCTTCAAAAAGATCTATTTAAAGGAATGTGAAGTTTTGTCACACTTGTCACACAAGGTTAGCGACCATCTTTAATTTCTTCTCCCATCCTGTTGCGTAAGTTCACTATTAGTGTTCCAAACCAGCCCTAGGGGAGTTGAACTGTGCTTGAACCTTTTTCTTATGCTACAGTAAAACGGCCAACAACAACGACAGCGAATAAAAAACGTGCAACTTGTTTTGCAACATTTCTGCGAAACGATTTGAATAGTGATCGATGTTGCTCGATCTACCACCCACGTTCGAACTACTCTTGTAACAAATAAGGTTGCAAATATTTTTTTGTAGGTGGAAAAACACGCAGCACCGCCATTTAACTCGTTATGCAACAGTGTTCAAACAAGTGACACATTTTTTGTTGCCCGTTTTACAGTACCTTTACAGTACCAGTAGAAACTTTCAATTGTTAAAAAAAAATTTCATACCTGCTTGCCACGTGGTGAAAACAACTTAGTACAGACTACTGCCGGGACACAACGCTAATGGTAGCGACGTTGGGCTGAGGAGTCAAAAATACCAAGGCGAGTTGCACAAAAGGTTAAACCTGGCACTGTTATTGCTTGTTTCGAAGCGCTTTTTCTATTCCGACCGTCCAACCTGGCGTAACCTCATTCATAGCGGAGCCCATGCAGCCGAATACAACAAAACTGACGCCACAGAAAAGAAACGCGAGACGCGCCAGGCCAAATTTGCAAGCAACCGGTAGACCACCCCAATTCCCATGTGTCCGACTTGTGGGAGAGGGTTCCACGCCCAGATTGGCCTCATCAGCCACCTTCGGACACACCAAACTGACTCCAGGAACAGTTGAGGATGTCATTGTCATCTTCGACTCCGAACGCCGAATAACAAACAAACATAAGCGGTGTATAAGCTCCTCTGTTTATAAGCCCTACTAAAACCCCTTATGAAGATGTATAAGCCCAGGCCTTATCCCTTGAAGCGGTAGTTTAAAGTGTGTGAGTACAGTCGCATATTGACGCCTATATTCTCCATACCATTCTGCATAAATTTCCATGAGGACACATAAAATTTATATCAGAGTAGCACAGTTTATTTTAATTTCATAACATAACAAAGCTCAAACCAGCTATCATACATATATATATTCTATTGTAATTTTAAAATCTATATTGGGAAATTTCCTACGTTAAGTCAATTCATCAAATCTATTTAGAATTTTAACTTGTATATTATTGTTATAATTGATGATATATATTTTCATGTTGCGTTTGTACTGTTATTTTTCTACGTTTTATTGCTGTTGCCATATGTTACGACCATAACGTTTCTTCAGTAAAGTTGTTTTACTTTACCTTACGTAAGTGTACTTGGCAGTTCTCTTTTGAAAACAGACTGGAAGCTATAGGCAGTGATTACTAGCTGATCATGGTACATGCGAGGCATAAATGGCTTGTTTACAGCTGAAATGCACTTAGACCTAGGCCAAATGTCGCACCTTTCATGAGACAAACCAAACTTAGTGTGTTACGTTCATGTAAAGTTCGACGTCTGGCTTACGTTCGTTTGAATGAGTTTGGATCGTCCAACACGTTCTATCCGTCTGCTTCAGACGGATATTACGTCTGAAGATTGTCTCCCGGACAAACAAAACTAACAAATTAAAAATTTGTATGATAATGTACATTCGTTCAGGAGGAAGTTTATTGCTGATCTGATTCAGTTGATTGGTTCGACGCGTCCTAAGACGTCTGACCCAACAGACTATCTTAACTTAATTTCGGTGGGTCGAGCCAAATTAGAGTTTGGTTCGTCTCACGAAAACGTTCCACGTTCGACCAAATGCCACTCACCCCTTAGCCTATATATAGGCCTCCTGCGCATAGGTATGCGACACCAGTTAGCTACTTAAAAGCATGGCCGTTTCTGTTTTTAACACCGTACCAATGGGGTGGGGTGGGGCCTTTGCGGAGGAGATAGCAGTCTTTCTGAAGACGGGCGCTCTATTCATGTTAAACCACTTGCAAACTTCTCTCTTTCTTTATCCTTCGAACATCTGACAATGAGACCCCCAGGATTAGGAGTGAGAAACTAGCACTGTCATGTATTCATAACTACTCCTAAGATCGCCGCGGCGTTAGTTATTTATTAAAGCAATACTGAAGCCAAGCGTGTACTGAAATCATTAATTCGAGAGCTTATGATTCCATCTTAATTTAAAAACCTTTTGAGATGAATTGTGGTTTACAGCTTCTGTTACAAATCGCGAATCCCTTCCCTTTCCGTTTTGCTTGTTCACTAACTGGTCTGATAGTGTCTTCCATTTTCTACACATTTAATGTCCACGTTTTTATTATTTTGTTTGCTTCTTCTTTTTCCGTTTTCCCAAAGTATGAATAACTTCACCGATCATATCTTTCACTTCCGCAATCTGATTATGGAACTGAGCTGTTAGCGCTCTTTGCTGCTGTTCCAGTCTTTTCACTTCTTCGCGTAGTTTGTGCAGATCACTCGAAGAGCCACTACCGTTCTTCTTTTTTCTATCGTTTTCCTGCTCATTTACGTGCATGAAAATGTTATCAACTTGCTCCTTTATCTGATGGGTCATTCTTTGCAAATCCTTCTCTTCTCCTTCGCCAGCTACATCATCATCGTAATACATCTCTTCTGGATTACATCGTGTGTAGATGAAGTTCGTAAACGCTCGTCGCTTTGAGACAGACAGACTTTTCTCCAAGGATAGAATAGTGCTGGCTTGCTGCATAACAGCATTTGCTTTCACATTGTCGTAGACTCTTTGAAAGGTATCCGACATCAAAGCGATGAAAAGGTTTAGACAAATCACGCCCGAGACTGCAATGTAAGTGCCACAAAGTACCTTGGCCATAATAGGCTGGACTCTTGACAGACCGTCGTAGTTGTACTCATCAACGACAGTCATTCTAAACATGCTGTATAAGAGGTCTGTGATCGATGAGTAGCCGTCCACCCTCTTCCGACTGAACACCATCCAAAACGAGGCCGCGTACGGAATGTAGAATATAAAGAACAGAAAGCCAAATTTTAGCACATCGTATATCACGTGACCCAGCATGACCACGAAGGGCCCTAACGTAGTGAATGCGCGTGCGTACTTCATTAGACGAGTCCAAAGTACGATAAGTGTCGCTGAGAGTATATTTACGTGTACTGAGAGTGCCATTGGGTCGTTAAAAACATACGCTATGAAAAGCGTTGCGATGGAAGCAACAATCAAAAAATAGGAAAGCCAGTCTACGAAATTCCAAGCGTCTTTAAGATACGAAGGTTCTTGGTGACGCAGCGAGTCGATTTCCTGCATTAGATAGAGTCTCTCTCCCGGCCACCTCGGATGACAGAACTCTAAGTCGCCTCGCAGTTCATCTTCCCGCCACTTTACCCACAGCTTATGTTCTCTTTTGGAAGCGAAATACTCCATGACTTCCTGCCTGATAAAATTAAGCGTCATTAACAACGCTAGCGATCCTATTACAACCCTCCACCACTTCTTCTCAATTGGGTCAAAAAGTTCATTTGCCTTATATGGTGTGCTAACACCAAGCACGGTCCACAATATCACGAAAAACAAGTTTGTTATGACTTGCCACCAGGCTCCCCGCTTCCCAAAGTAATTCCATTTTGCTGCAATAAGTCTCTGTATGACAGGATGCATGATTAGATCAAACTGCTTTAGCTGAACAATGACTTCTAGAGCTGTCTTGGCGCAACCGCTGCTCAAACAGGTTGGTACTGGAGGCTCAAGGTAATTTAAGTGAAAGTACTGCTTTCTATTGGCTCTGTCAGTGGAATAAAATTGATTTAGTGCCACTTTTGCCTGAAAAAGGGAAAAAAAAGAGAAGGATCCTGAATTAGCAAGTTTTAACTAATATTTAATTAATGAATCAATGTCGAAATACTGATCCATCCGATCTTAAAGTGTTTTTGAGTAGGTCAGGTGAGTTCTTTCGTGTGCCACTTATAAAGCATTCTCTCGTTCCATAGGAGAGCACCCAGACCTAAGACACTTTTACTCTTCAAATTGATAGAGATTTGTGTGAATATTCATTGCGAATTAGATGAAACAGTAAAAATACACATCAATGGCGATCATTTTGGCGCCCGCCAGGGTCTACAGGAGCGCTGCCCAAAAGAACCGCGTTCCTTGGAAGGAGAATTAAGTTGGTTTGTAAACAGACTAACTTACCACGCTAGGCATCTTGCTAATCATTAACACCAGGGCTGTCATGCCACTGTCATCGACCACGCTAGCTTCCGCTGACCGCTCTATCAGAAATTTCGCAGTATCAGAGCGATCCAGTTCCGCTGCCACCTGAAAGAGGAAAACATTGCATATGTCAGTTACCCAATGATGTTTCGTTGAAGGCACACAAAGTTAACATACTTACAAGACAGCTGACTTGTTTATGGAACAAAAACGGATTCTCTAAGTATTCGAAGCTTTAGAAAACAATGCATTTTATGTTAATAGGTGTGATTTTTTCGCTTTTGATCGAAAAATTTAACCTTTTCCCCTTTTGTTCACATAGGTGAATGGCCGTAATCAGTGTTGTTGGAAAGCCTGATGCTGTGGTTAAGGTGAACATCGCCCAAAATCGCGGCTGCGCCTTATAGCCGGGTATTTTGGCTTAATTTTCAGTTTTTTAACTTAGAAAAATCGCGTTAAAAAGTTTGGTGTGCGTTTCATAACCGAGTGCACCTTATAACCGAAAAAAAATACGGTAATACTCAAAATCATATCGCAGAGCTTCCTTGACAAAAACACTCCGAATGAAACCTATGAATTGAGAAAGTCTAACCTACCTGCAAAGCCGTTCTCTGTTTAAAGTCTTTGTCTGTTATATCAGCACCACATTTCAACAGCATTTTCAGCGATAAAGCTGCGTCATTGCGTGCTGCAAAATGCACAGGCGTCTGCTGTTCTTTACCAGTTTTGGCGTGGATATCTGCTCCCCGCTGAACGAGGAACTGTACCATCTCTGGATAGTCCACTGCGGCGGCCACGTGCAAAGGGGTGCGGCCATACTTGTCTGCTTGATTGACAGATGCCCCTGGTGACGAAAAGGAACAAGAAGCAAGCGTTTGTTTGGCTCAGCATGTCATGGTTGAGGCTGAAATAATCAGAGTTGTTTACGACCTAGTTAATCAGGTGATATACGACCATTTACATTAAAGAAGTTAGCTAAAGCTAAAGCAACGAGACCACGAAGCAATATGGAAAATTTCATTTGAAAATTGCCAAACTCAGCCAATTGAAGCACGATTCCCCTGACGTCATAAACTGACAAAGGTAAACGTTTTTCATACCATTCTATGGGACTGACAGCCATGAAGTGAGACCCGCAAATTTTAATTTTTTATCGCTTTGGCTTGATGCCTTAAAATCTGACAAGGTTAATTAAAATAGCTGTATGTGCACCTGTTAAATGCTTACTATCAAACACAGACTGAATAAACACTGGGAACACTAATTTAGAGGCATGTTAGAGGCTAAATTGAAAAAATCACGTGCAGATCTGCAGTAAGTGGACATTGAAGTAATGTAGGAAAAGCGCATCGTCCGCTTATTACCTAGCGTTAGGCCTCATTATTCCGTTCGGCCTGGAACCGAGAAGACCTGGGGAACGCCCTACAGGAGCTAGGCGACAAGGCAAGTTCGCACTCAGAACACTGAAATGATTGAGAGATATGCTTTCTTACTTTCCCGAGTGTATTAATATGAGCCGATGATGACATGATGATGACCGATTTTAAGGCTGGTAGCTTTTAACGAAAACGACAATAATGCTTTCAGTCGGAGACGCAGCTTTATGAGGGTCTCAATGCCTTTATGAATAATTATTTCATAGGTTCGTCTCTGTTAGGAAAACTCGGATACTTTCCCAGTCTTTTCCTGTCACTGACTGAAATGAAACAAAGAATTCTGGTCGTTATTTCTCTGATTAATAGACAAACCAGACTCGAGCCCTCCATTACTAGAATTATTTTGGGGCTTTTTCTTGGTTTGCTTTTACAAAATCATTAAGAGACCATGCTCGTTTGAGGTTGGCTCTCAATTAGTTGCCAGTGAAGAAAGAGGAAGGAACCGATATTTTTGAGTGAAGGTTTTTCTGCCTCTGTTTTAAAAGGTGTATTATACGGAGAGAGCTTGATGATTTATAGTATTAAAGGTTTGGAGATAGCCTTCCTCTCTAAGATGCTTTTGCACAACCACGCCCATGAATGCACATGGGGCCCTTACATAGGGACCTTACGTTCCGACGATGGCGACACCAACAAGAACGTCAAAAAAGCAACATGTTGCAACCTGACAACGATAAGATGCATAATTTAACGTTTTAATGGTGGAAATAAACATGCGACGAAGAAATTTCGGGTCAGTTTCTGAACTTGAATTTTATTTTTTGGAATTCAACTCAATTTGACAAAGTGAATTGGAATAATCGCCATGAAAATTGAAAGAACGCGGATTCACTTTTAAAGCAAATTTTTGGCCCACGTCGGCCGTGCTCAGATCAGATTTATGAGGGAGATATCTCAAGGGCTCTCATGAAAGAACAAAAACAAAACCAGTGTCTGGGACAAGAAGCAAGACCCTAGCCCGTGACTTCAGGGAAAACATCCTTTCATCAAAAATTCGAATAATACTGTCATATTTATAAGTCTACGAGCAATTCAGTATGAGTGAAGATTGAAATACAAATCGGCATTCATTTTACAAAAAAATCGATCCTTATCAGTGAAATGGTCCTTGTAAATAGCCCGAGAACGCTATCTGTTAGAGTTCGCAGGCTATTTACAAGGACCATTTCAAAAGGATCGATTTTTTGTATAATGAATGCCAATTTGCATTTCAATCTTCTCTCATACTGAATTGCTCGTAGACTCATAAATATGACAGTATTATTCCTAAGTAGATAATTAATGTACAGCAGTTGATAAACAACAAATGCTAGAGCGGCCTTCATCTCTATCGCTTCGTCATGCTAGCGGAATTTCCTTTCCTTCCTCAGCCATATAACAGGAGAACCGACCTACTCTAGAAATAAAAAAAAAGACAGAAGAAAATTCCAATAAACGCCAATTGATCCGGAAAAGATTTGTCAGTCTCACTTAGAGTCACGAATTAGATTAAGGCATTAGATCTCAAGACATCCTTTTTTTCTCGCATCGAGGTAAGAAACTTGTAATAATTGATGTTTAGGCTCTCATGTTGATTTTTTTCCGTGAGAACGTGAACATCTGCAATAGCAGTGCCGTATCGCAAATTTATTTAGTTTATCTCGTATATTAGGAAAACATGCACTAATTCATTTTTGAACTTCAAGGGGCGATTGAGCCTCACTGGTTGTCTTTGTTTAGTTAATTTAGCCTAGTTTGATGTGCGTATTTCATTATTTAGCTTGAAAAGAAGAAAATGAAAAAGTAAGCATATATTTAATAAAACTGCAACAACACCATATTTAACCAAGATCTCGGGATAAATATTTGTTTTCGTTAGACCGCACCCATAATTTTTTTTTATCCAAACTAAGACGTTTAAAAATTGTTGAAAGGGTTGAAATAGATCCTTAAGGTAACTGGATTTCACCTTTTAAAGAAAAAAATCTTATCAGTGACATCTTGAAATTATCATTAAAACTGAGTTATAAAAAAGAAAAACATGAGATACGAGTTGTAATAACATCTGCTACAAAGAAATATTAATTATTTTCTTACCAGTTTTGCTATATATATAAAGCAATTCCTGCCGTTTTATTGAAAAATATAAATATCCGTCAAAAAAGAAAAACTTAAAAAAGGTCGAATTAAAAATAGGGTTAGGACTTGAGTATGGAGGAACGAAAATTTGTCGTTATTGTCTCCTATTGTCACGGATTCGCGTGCCTTAACATAATAGACAGTTCCGCTTCGAAATCTATATAAAATATTGCCAAACAGACTTGTGGTGATAATTTTAATTTCCAGTCACCTTTTATCTTATCTTTCGCTTAATTTTAATTTTTGTGAATGATTAAAAATTGAGGAAGCTGATAATATTGACTGGCCTGAAGCCACATTGTTGCCTTTTCATTTTGTAACTCAAAAAGCTCATTTGGTATGTTTACAAAAAACATTTTTATGAGTGATTCACTGACTCCTATCAATAGGAAATTCCAATATTTATTGAGTAAAATATATACTCGCTGAAAACGTTTTGTGTAATACGCTCGGTATGTATTAATAATTATTTTCAAGAAACAAATTTCTAGCACTGATGACCCAACATATCTAAGGTAAAAAATTCCCGATCACGATTTTACTTTTTTTAAAAGTGTATTGAATTCTTGGACTTAAGACTTGGGCGTCTTTTGCCCGACAAAGTTAGAAAATCATTATTCTTACTCTGAAAACTTCAATTTTTTTGCCTCACCTCTTTCAAGCAACAATTTAGCTACGGAGAGATCCCACTGTCTGGCTGCTTCGTGTAACAATGTCTGCCCATGTCTATCAGCTGTATTCACGGACGCTCCGCTTTCGATAAGCGTTTCAACGAACTCTAGATCAATTACCTCCTCCTCGCGTGTCGACGCAGCTAACTTGGCGAAATAATAAAGCAGAGCTCTGCTGGGGGAGCTTACTGTAGATACCCCGCCATCTTTTCTACGTTTCTCTTGCGAAGTGATCTCCACGAGTTCTTCCAAATCGCTAAGTTGCGCCGCGTTCATACGATGATGATTTACTCTCATGCTTTCACGGATAGTTGGAAAATCGATGCGTGCTTTTTGATATTCGTGCCATGCTGCGATGTCGGCTCTTTTCCTGGCATATTTTCTCCATTTTGACACAGTCACCTTTGCTTGACCTGCCGATTTTAATGGAGAAACTACCCGTACTTTCCGGTTAAACTCAGGGCTCTCCTTCTCCTCAAAGCTCGGCACTAATGGAGATGCGTGCGCTCCCTTGTTTTCTTCAACTAATTTTTGGTCTTCCTCGACAGTCAGCTGAACAGGAATTACTCTGTTCTTATTTATTTTCCCGTTTGCAGTCATTTTAATTCTTTATGTTGCCTGGAGCAGTCAATTTCAGTTCAACATCTTCTTTGTTAATGACTTTGGAAACAACTTGTCTCGCTCCTTCAATTTTAAATAACTCCCCACATACGTTGGTGTTAAATTTAGTCACAACTCACGCTTATACTTTACGGTCATGCCCAAAAGAACCGCGTTCCTTGGAAGGAGAATTAAGTTGGTTTGTAAACAGACTAACTTACCACGCTAGGCATCTTGCTAATCATTAACACCAGGGCTGTCATGCCACTGTCATCGACCACGCTAGCTTCCGCTGACCGCTCTATCAGAAATTTCGCAGTATCAGAGCGATCCAGTTCCGCTGCCACCTGAAAGAGGAAAACATTGCATATGTCAGTTACCCAATGATGTTTCGTTGAAGGCACACAAAGTTAACATACTTACAAGACAGCTGACTTGTTTATGGAACAAAAACGGATTCTCTAAGTATTCGAAGCTTTAGAAAACAATGCATTTTATGTTAATAGGTGTGATTTTTTCGCTTTTGATCGAAAAATTTAACCTTTTCCCCTTTTGTTCACATAGGTGAATGGCCGTAATCAGTGTTGTTGGAAAGCCTGATGCTGTGGTTAAGGTGAACATCGCCCAAAATCGCGGCTGCGCCTTATAGCCGGGTATTTTGGCTTAATTTTCAGTTTTTTAACTTAGAAAAATCGCGTTAAAAAGTTTGGTGTGCGTTTCATAACCGAGTGCACCTTATAACCGAAAAAAAATACGGTAATACTCAAAATCATATCGCAGAGCTTCCTTGACAAAAACACTCCGAATGAAACCTATGAATTGAGAAAGTCTAACCTACCTGCAAAGCCGTTCTCTGTTTAAAGTCTTTGTCTGTTATATCAGCACCACATTTCAACAGCATTTTCAGCGATAAAGCTGCGTCATTGCGTGCTGCAAAATGCACAGGCGTCTGCTGTTCTTTACCAGTTTTGGCGTGGATATCTGCTCCCCGCTGAACGAGGAACTGTACCATCTCTGGATAGTCCACTGCGGCGGCCACGTGCAAAGGGGTGCGGCCATACTTGTCTGCTTGATTGACAGATGCCCCTGGTGACGAAAAGGAACAAGAAGCAAGCGTTTGTTTGGCTCTGCATGTCATGGTTGAGGCTGAAATAATCAGAGTTGTTTACGCCCTAGTTAATCAGGTAATATACAACCATTTACATTAAAGAAGTTAGCTAAAGCTAAAGCAACGAGACCACGAAGCAATATGGAAAATTTCATTTGAAAATTGCCAAACTCAGCCAATTGAAGCACGATTCCCCTGACGTCATAAACTGACAAAGGTAAACGTTTTTCATACCATTCTATGGGACTGACAGCCATGAAGTGAGACCCGCAAATTTTAATTTTTTATCGCTTTGGCTTGATGCCTTAAAATCTGACAAGGTTAATTAAAATAGCTGTATGTGCACCTGTTAAATGCTTACTATCAAACACAGACTGAATAAACACTGGGAACACTAATTTAGAGGCATGTTAGAGGCTAAATTGAAAAAATCACGTGCAGATCTGCAGTAAGTGGACATTGAAGTAATGTAGGAAAAGCGCATCGTCCGCTTATTACCTAGCGTTAGGCCTCATTATTCCGTTCGGCCTGGAACCGAGAAGACCTGGGGAACGCCCTACAGGAGCTAGGCGACAAGGCAAGTTCGCACTCAGAACACTGAAATGATTGAGAGATATGCTTTCTTACTTTCCCGAGTGTATTAATATGAGCCGATGATGACATGATGATGACCGATTTTAAGGCTGGTAGCTTTTAACGAAAACGACAATAATGCTTTCAGTCGGAGACGCAGCTTTATGAGGGTCTCAATGCCTTTATGAATAATTATTTCATAGGTTCGTCTCTGTTAGGAAAACTCGGATACTTTCCCAGTCTTTTCCTGTCACTGACTGAAATGAAACAAAGAATTCTGGTCGTTATTTCTCTGATTGATAGACAAACCAGACTCGAGCCCTCCATTACTAGAATTATTTTGGGGCTTTTTCTTGGTTTTGCTTTTACAAAATCATTAAGAGACCATGCTCGTTTGAGGTTGGCTCTCAATCAGTTGCCAGTGAAGAAAGAGGAAGGAACCGATATTTTTGAGTGAAGGTTTTTCTGCCTCTGTTTTAAAAGGTGTATTATACGGAGAGAGCTTGATGATTTATAGTATTAAAGGTTTGGAGATAGCCTTCCTCTCTAAGATGCTTTTGCACAACCACGCCCATGAATGCACATGGGGCCCTTACATAGGGACCTTACGTTCCGACGATGGCGACACCAACAAGAACGTCAAAAAAGCAACATGTTGCAACCTGACAACGATAAGATGCATAATTTAACGTTTTAATGGTGGAAATAAACATGCGACGAAGAAATTTCGGGTCAGTTTCTGAACTTGAATTTTATTTTTTGGAATTCAACTCAATTTGACAAAGTGAATTGGAATAATCGCCATGAAAATTGAAAGAACGCGGATTCACTTTTAAAGCAAATTTTTGGCCCACGTCGGCCGTGCTCAGATCAGATTTATGAGGGAGATATCTCAAGGGCTCTCATGAAAGAACAAAAACAAAACCAGTGTCTGGGACAAGAAGCAAGACCCTAGCCCGTGACTTCAGGGAAAACATCCTTTCATCAAAAATTCGAATAATACTGTCATATTTATAAGTCTACGAGCAATTCAGTATGAGTGAAGATTGAAATACAAATCGGCATTCATTTTACAAAAAATCGATCCTTATCAGTGAAATGGTCCTTGTAAATAGCCCGAGAACGCTATCTGTTAGAGTTCGCAGGCTATTTACAAGGACCATTTCAAAAGGATCGATTTTTTGTATAATGAATGCCAATTTGCATTTCAATCTTCTCTCATACTGAATTGCTCGTAGACTCATAAATATGACAGTATTATTCCTAAGTAGATAATTAATGTACAGCAGTTGATAAACAACAAATGCTAGAGCGGCCTTCATCTCTATCGCTTCGTCATGCTAGCGGAATTTCCTTTCCTTCCTCAGCCATATAACAGGAGAACCGACCTACTCTAGAAATAAAAAAAAAACGACAGAAGAAAATTCCAATAAACGCCAATTGATCCGGAAAAGATTTGTCAGTCTCACTTAGAGTCACGAATTAGATTAAGGCATTAGATCTCAAGACATCCTTTTTTTCTCGCATCGAGGTAAGAAACTTGTAATAATTGATGTTTAGGCTCTCATGTTGATTTTTTTCCGTGAGAACGTGAACATCTGCAATAGCAGTGCCGTATCGCAAATTTATTTAGTTTATCTCGTATATTAGGAAAACATGCACTAATTCATTTTTGAACTTCAAGGGGCGATTGAGCCTCACTGGTTGTCTTTGTTTAGTTAATTTAGCCTAGTTTGATGTGCGTATTTCATTATTTAGCTTGAAAAGAAGAAAATGAAAAAGTAAGCATATATTTAATAAAACTGCAACAACACCATATTTAACCAAGATCTCGGGATAAATATTTGTTTTCGTTAGACCGCACCCATAATTTTTTTTTATCCAAACTAAGACGTTTAAAAATTGTTGAAAGGGTTGAAATAGATCCTTAAGGTAACTGGATTTCACCTTTTAAAGAAAAAAATCTTATCAGTGACATCTTGAAATTATCATTAAAACTGAGTTATAAAAAAGAAAAACATGAGATACGAGTTGTAATAACATCTGCTACAAAGAAATATTAATTATTTTCTTACCAGTTTTGCTATATATATAAAGCAATTCCTGCCGTTTTATTGAAAAATATAAATATCCGTCAAAAAAGAAAAACTTAAAAAAGGTCGAATTAAAAATAGGGTTAGGACTTGAGTATGGAGGAACNTGTTTAGGCTCTCATGTTGATTTTTTTCCGTGAGAACGTGAACATCTGCAATAGCAGTGCCGTATCGCAAATTTATTTAGTTTATCTCGTATATTAGGAAAACATGCACTAATTCATTTTTGAACTTCAAGAGGCGATTGAGCCTCACTGGTTGTCCTTGTTTAGTTAATTTAGCCTAGTTTTATGTGCGTATTTCATTATTTAGCTTGAAAAGAAGAAAATGAAAAAGTAAGCATATATTTAATAAAACTGCAACAATACCATATTTAACCAAGATCTCGGTATAAATATTTGTTTTCGTTAGACCGCACCAATAAATTTTTTTTATCCAAACTAAGACGTCAAATTGTTGAAAGGGTTGAAATAGTTCCTTAAGGCAATTGGATTTCACCTTTTGAAGAAAAAAGTCTTATAAGTTACATCTTGAAATCATCATTAAAAAAGAGTTATAAAAAGGAAAAACATAAGATACGAGTTGTAATAACATCTGCTACAAAGAAATTAAAATTGAAAGTTTATAAGACATTTCCTATCAGTTTTGCTATCTAAAGCAATTCCTGCCGTTTTATTGAAAAATATTAATATCCGCCAAAAAAGAAAGACCTCAAAAAGGTCGAATTAAAAATAGGGTTAGGACTTGAGTATGGAGGAACGAAAATTTGTAGGTATTGTCTGCTGTTGTCAGTGGTTCGCGTGCCTTAACATAATAGACAGTTCCGCTTCTAAATCTATATATATTGCCAAACAGGCTTGTGGTAATAATTTTAATTTCCAGTCACCTTTTATCTTATCTTTCGCTTAATTTTAATTTTCGTGAATGATTAAAAATTGAGGGAGCTGATAATATTGACTGGCCTGAAGCCACATTGTTGCGTTTTCATTTTGTAACTCGAAAAGCTCATTTGGTATGTTTACCAAAAATATTTTTATGAGTGATTAACTGACTTCTATCAATAGGAAATGCCAATATTTATTGAGTAAAATATATACTCGCTGAAAATGTTTTGTGTAATACGCTCGGTATGTATTAATAGTTATTTTCAAGAAACAAATTTCTAGCACTGATGACCCAACATGTCTAAGCTGAAAAATTCCCGATCACGATTTTACGTTTTTTAAAAGTGTAGTGAAATCTTGAACTTAATGACTGTCAGATAGGGCGTCTTTTGCCCGACAAGGTTAGAAAATCATTATTCTTACTCTTAAAACTTCAATTTTTTTGACTCACCTCTTTCAAGCAACAATTTAGCTACGGAGAGATCCCATTGTCTGGCTGCTTCGTGTAACAATGTCTGCCCATGTCGATCAGCTGTATTCACTGACGCTCCGCTTTCGATAAGCGTTTCAACGAACTCTAGATCAATCACCTCCTCCTCGCGTGTCGACGCAGCTAACTTGGCGAAATAATAAAGCAGAGCTCTGCTGGGGGAACTTACGGTAGATACCCCGCCATCTTTTCTACGTTTCTCTTGCGAAGTGATCTCCACAAGTTCTTCCAAATCGCTAAGTTGCGCCGCATTCATACGATGATGATTTATCCTCATGCTTTCACGGATAGTTGGAAAATCGATGCGCGCTTTTTGATATTCGTGCCATGCTGCAATGTCGGCTCTTTTCCTGGCATATTTTCTCCACTTTGACACCGTCACCTTTGCTTGACCTGCCGATTTTAATGGAGAAACTACCCGTACTTTCCGGTTAAACTCAGGGCTCTCTTTTTCCTCAAAGCTCGGCGCTAATGGAGATTCATACGCTCCCTTGTTTTCTTCAACTAATTTTTGGTCTTCCTCGACAGTCAGCTGAACAGGAATTACTCTGTTCTTATTTATTTTCCCGTTTGCAGTCATTTTAATTCTGTATGTTGCCTGGAGCGGTCAATTTCAGTTCAACATCTTCTTTGTTAATGACTTTGGAAACAACTTGTCTCGCTCCTTCAATTTTAAATAACTCCCCACATACGTTGGTGTTAAATTTAGTCACAACTCACGCTTATACTTTACGGTCGTTAAGTAAATTTACCACCCGTTACTATGTAAATATCCTGGTCCAAGTATGATGTATTCTCGCCCTGGCAAAACAAAAATAACAAAAATAGAAACTTACGCCGCGACGCAAGACTGAAGCTTGTTTGAACTGATCCTTTAAGTAAAAACATAAAGGAATGATCACAAAACTCCTACCATATTGTACCTACTTACTTACCACCACAATAACAGAGACATATTCTTTCGATAGATGTTCCATATATTCTGAAAAGGGTTTCTTCAGCAGACATTTTCCCGCTATCCAAATTTTATGTACGCATGCTATGGCCACACAATTGAAGGATGATTTTAAATAAAAAGTAATCTTTAAGACGACAATCGCATTTGTTTATCTCGCAGAAGGGATATCCTTCAAGCGATTGGTTCAATAAATAACCTCCTGCCGTTTACGAATATTAAATTTGAGATATTGTCGAAAAAGACGAAAAAAAAAACAAGACTAGTTTTTCTTTTTATTCTTCTAATGTCAAGATATATCCGCAAATCCAGTGGAACAATAGAGTTTGCGCGTTCTTAAGTGATGATTTAATGTTTCGGCATAGCATTTTAAACAGCACAAGTCATTTGTTATTAAAAATATGACTCAGAATAACGATGCGGTGGCAATGGTCTTCAGCGCGTCCCTGCGACAGGTGCGCGGTAACATAAGCCCGCAAGGGCAAAAATAGCTGTACAGCCAGTAAATAAGTTAGTTCATGCGCGTAGGTTCACGTGGAAAAACAACATGGCGGAAGAAACACAAGAAGTTTGCTCTTTTCATGAAATGAGTTTAGACGATCGACTTATAAAGGTAAATTCCATTTTTTTAAATTTGGTATAACCTAAATACGTATTTTAATCTTCATGCAGAGTTTTGTTTTTATTTGACAGGCCATAGCAAAGTTGAAGTGGTCACAACCGTCTCCGATCCAGGTATGAGCGCTAGGCTACCGTGGTTTATCAACTGTTCTTCGAGGTTGCTTACTAGCACGTTTTCCCTATTCAACGACAGATAATGCATTTGTTCGTTTTAACTTCATGCAAAAGGTAGATTTTTCGAATTTCCTCTCGATACAAACCTTTATATTTCTATCATGCTGTGCTGATTATTACTATACAACTGAACTTCAACTTCAACTTTATTTCAGTCTGCCTACAGGGTTGTAGATTAACATCAACAATTTTTAAAAACATATTTACGAGCGATTACTAATCTATAAAGGTACATAAAGGAGAAAAGACAATCTTAAAGGAGAAAAAAACATTGTACGTGCATAGTGGCCAAAGGAGAGACAGGCTTTGAGTTGGCCAGTGTCATGTTAGCTGTAGAATTAGAATCCAAAGAGATGAGTTGGGTCGGTGGGGTTACTTATGTGTGCCTTCGATTTTACAGTCACCTTTTATTCCATAAATATCATTTTTGACTATTACTATTTACAGGAGAAAGCCATTCCTTTAGCTCTGGAGGGAAAAGATATTTTAGCCAGAGCAAAAACTGGATCAGGAAAAACAGCAGCGTAAGTTCTTTTCAAAAAAGTGCACCTGATTTGCAAAGTCCTTATACCATATACATTGTTTAGGGCAAAAACCTCAACTTGACTACCCTGTTTAGGACAAAGGACAAAAGGCATGCCATCTTGTTTTAAAGCCATTTTTTGGCAATTGCAATAAGGAAACTTGCCCAAATTAGTTGTACAGACAATTTAATTGGGACAAACTCCCACAAAATTATATACATGTACCCTGTTTAACAGAGACTCATGCAAAATTATACACCCTGTTTAGACAGAGAGGTAAAAAAATTATACCCTATCCAGTAGCACATCCTGGTATAGGGCATTTGAGGGTTAGTATTTAAAGAGATCGTACAGAAAAATACTTTCAACTTTCTTGAAGCAACTGTGTGTAACTTTCTAAAGATATCAATACTTACATATTTACAACCAAGACAACTGGGGTGTTCATATAATAAAGTTGTTCAAAAGGAGACATTTTTCTGTATATAAGAGTCATAAAGTGTTACATGCAGGCTAACAGTGGAGTTTATAACACTCTGATTATTCTTCTAGTTATGCAATACCAATGGTGCAAAGAATCCTACAAGAAAAACAGGTGTGTTCATAAAATGTTAAATATTAGGTTTTTTAACATGGTTTTAATTCAAGGCTGTGCTACTTGGGTGCATAGTGTGCATACCATATTATTGGTTTGGTGCAAGGGCTAAGATATCCTTGCCACTGAAAAGGGCAAACATAGGTTTCCATGGGTCACTGGGTGTTGCTGGGTCATTACCTTGAATATTAAGTTTATTACTGGTTTCATTATTCTCTTTCTTTCATATTCAGTATGTTTGATTACATTTAACTGGAGCAAAATTAAATGAATCCAACCAGAATGAAATTAGTATTTGCCAGTGATATAATTCGGCCCATGCAAAAGTGCAACCTTGTTATCAGTTGTCTGATACGTCATTAGACAAGTGCTATTTTCATCAGATGCATGGTGGCCAAGCAGTTAACAACTTGAACAACTTCAGATCTGTAAGTCAAGGTTCATTGCTTTGCTTGCTTAGAAACTTTCCTGTTGCTAGGATTTCTCTCTCTGCATACCCAGATGTATAAGTAAAGTGGAATTCTGATTTTTGTAACCACCATGGGAAAAGTTACGGTGTAACTGGTTCAAAAGATTATAAGGTTTGAAAACTCGGGTACAAAATTAGAATACAGTGTTTGACTGGTGAAGGGAATTTTGGTTTGGTTTTAATCACCAGGAGTATTGAAAAACTGAGGATTCCAGAAATGAGGGTTTTAATTCAATATTGTACATTTAGGTAATAGTGATGTAATGCTCAGGGTAGCAATGCAAATATGGATGTATAGAATCCCATCCAGGAGGAGTAGCCATATCATAAATAACCTAATAAGCACCCACATCCAAAATGCCTCCAATCTATTGAACAGGCCCTTAAATTTTGTTAGATGCCCCTCGCTAATAAAAGTCCCCTGTCTAATAGATGCCCCGTATGAGAATTACTCCAAAACCTAGGAATTAGGAAAAAGGATCAAAATCATTCAATTCACTTAGTTTCTTGCTTGATGAACAAGGCTTTGCATATTAAATTTCATCTTGTTCATTGTCGATTTTGAATTAAGGATAGACTAACGATGGTAACACAATAACCCTGAGCAAGGATTCTGACATTGATGTTGGGATTTTAGAAGAGTGATATTGATCTGTAGACGGCCTGGACACATCATGTAGTGGACATTCCACTATTTTAAACTCTCTTGATATATTTACCGAAATTACATTAGTTTAGTGGAGCTTGTTACAGTTTCTCAGTTTCTCTCTTTTAAATGCCACATATCTATTAAAAGTCCCCGCTTGGACTCTTAAAATGAAATAGACGCCCCGGGCATTTATTAGATCATTTATGGTAACTAGGTGCCTCATGCTACAGAAAATGGATTAAGCTTTGACTGTTTTGGCCTCATGGTGCTATTTTACCATTACCTATCCTTCTGTTTTTATCACTAACAGTGTTTTTATTCTATTTCATTTTTTACAGGCTGATTCCTCAAGCTGTGGAGTAAGAGCACTTGTGTTGGTCCCCACCAAGGAACTGGCAAAGCAAGCTCACAAAAATATCAAGGTACAGTGTATATTAGTCAGGTAGAAGTAGGGTCTGATGGATTTTAATGGCTTGATTTTGAGCATTATTCAGCTTTTCACATAATTTTGGCATAACACTGATGAAATATTTTTTTCAGCATTGTAATGTACATTTGTATGATATTGTGTTGCAGTGCTGAAAACTACATGACTATCAGTAATTATTTTTTATCAAGTACTAAATTTTTTATTTATTCTGCCTTGTAAATTTATGCATTTTTTTGACACAGGAGTTATCGCTGTACTGCTCTCGGGAAGTCAGGGTTGCAGATGTTGCCCAAGGAAATCTTGCAAGTACCAAGTAAGAAAGCAGTGTACCCAGGCATTTTTTAAACAAAAGCTTGGGGTGCTTCCGGCCTCTTATAAAAGCAAAAAAGGAGCATCACGAAGGGAAGAGGGGTGTGAAGGAGGGAGGGATGGAGAAAGGCAGCCCATCACAAAACCTGTATTTGAAAACCCACTGGCGCCATTTAATTTCTGATTGACATCAGAATCAAATGCTACATTTACAGATGTAAATACATACCATACATTGTATTACTTAAAATGTGTTTTCCTCCATTCAAGGTCTCTGTTGATGGAGAAGCCAGACATTGTAGTGGGCACACCTAGTGTACTCCTTGGTCATGTCCAAGCTAAAGTAAGTACTATAAAAAATAGATTTAGTCAGGGCTAAAAGTGAAGCTCCCATTGATAAATTTATAATTCAAATCAAACAAGAAACTTGTAATACTCAAATCAGTTAACTTTAGGGGTGATCCATATGACGTTAATTTTTTGTAGGGAGGGGCTGGGTGATTTTACAGAAAAAATTATTTGACAATAAGTAACTTGTCAACAGAAGACTTCAAAAAAACATGTTACCTCAATCGGTGGACACTTGAGCCTGTGATACCTTCATGTGATACTGGTCGGTGGATGCCCTGTTTTGACAGCTGTCAATTGACTATAGATACAAGTAGCATGGATGTACAATATCAAGTACATTGTAGCTAGCAGGTCTTGCACCTAAGTTAGAAAATGTGACTTTTTATATTGGTCCAAGCAGGTGGACAGGTGGGCGTACGGTCACATAACTACCAAAATTTCTTGGGTGGATACATGTAGATGACCAAATTTTCTAAGCTGTGGGGCTACGCTTGCTTGTGCTTTACATGCATGTGGAGCTCCACTATAACACTTAAATACATGTACAGTTCATTCAAAATGAACATCAAATGATTGTTTTCTTGTCCACAGAATCTTGATCTTAAGACCAGTCTACAGATGCTGGTTATTGATGAAGCTGACCTTGTGTTTTCATATGGTTATGAACATGACTTGAAGAGTTTGTTAAGGTAAAGTACAGAGAGTGTTCCTGGGTTTTATTGAATGTGCTGCCTATCAGTTTTGCTGGCATTTATTATTATTATTTTTTGTTTGTTTTGTAGTCACCTTCCAAAGATTTATCAAGCATTTCTGATGTCTGCAACATTAAGTGAAGTAAGTAACATTGTTTACATAGAGAGTTTTTACTTTATTTTTTGAAATCTGTTCAAAACTCTCACTATAAAACATGTACATGTAAAAAAACGTCTTTGAAAGTTCTAGCATACACGTAGAGTGAAAAATGACATTTTAAAATAATAATAATGGTAACAATAATAATAATTTAATAATTTTA